GCGCATGGGATCGCCTTTTAAAGTGACACTACAGTTACATCGGACAGCTGTATCTCTGCGCGCAGAGGAGGCTGGAACTAAAGATTGCTGCACGGCTGGGACACGTCCTGACATGTCAGTGAAGTGCAAAGAAATTAAAGGACACAGGAGGAGAAGGAAGAGGGAGAAACACTGAAGCCCTTAACATGTTTACTTCAGAAAGGATTTCACTGTTATTGGAAAGCTAACATATTGTTTCAGGAAATGGAATTTGTGCCACAACAGGTGCAGGTATATATATATATTTTTTAAAACGCAACAAGTTTAATGTCAGTTGCTTCATAAAACCTTATAAATTGTTACATTTATCAAGTTTTATATATGATGCAATATTAAAATTATTCGTTTTTTCGCCAAAACATATCTAAAACATTTATATTAAAGTGATATTTAAAAACATACTGATTTACATCCATCTTTAAAGTTAACTTCCTATTCAGTACTCAAAGTTCAGTGGCCGATTGTGCCTTTAATCAGTCAATCACGCCCAGACCACTCCCACTTTTGTAGTCCAGAATTACGTCATCCCTTCTAGAGATGAGGAGAGTAATCCTAGATGGTTCTCGGTCCAGTAAGTGATGCTCTGGGCCTCCATCCCCTCCTCCCCGCTGCTTCTCCTCCACCTTGACTGCTTCAAAAGAGCCTCGTCCACGTCTTTGTTTCACCGAGCGCGCGTGTTCGCCTTTCTGTGCAGGAATGCGCGTTCATGAAAGACTGAAGCAAAAATATCACTGAAGCATTACAGTATGGATTCATTACTTTATCTTTTCAAGCATTTGATCCAATAACACGTTACAATTTATGTGCTGCTTTCTTTTGTTGATTTATCGCGTTTAATTTCTATGGCGTCATTGTCACATTTAAGGGTGAGGATATTGCTTCCAGTCAGATCATGCAAATAAACAATGTATTATCCATTTGCTGGCCTTTGAGTAAATCTCATCACAGTGCACAAGCATTAAGTATCAGTTGGTTGTTATTATTAACACTATTGTTTTACTGTGCTCAATGACACACATTTTCCCAGGTGGCCTGGTAGCCTACAGCTCACACGCTCATCCACAGCAGCAGGCTAGAGTGTGTACTGTACAGAATTACACACACACACACACGCATTGTGGGATGGTTTTTGTTCTCTTCGTGTCAAAGAGAATACCTGATGCAGCAGTTTGGCGCCTGCCGAGAACTACAGAGTTAAATGCTCAGTGGATGTTCAGCGGGAGGTCAGGATGTCTGAGTTTACACACACACACACACACACACAAAAGCCCTGTGTACTTTCACCAACATGATCACACTTTTATCTTTCAGCTGCTTTATATCAGGCTGAATCTTCAAGATATCCGAAGGGAGTTAGTGTTTGGTTACTCGGGGAGAATTTTAAGAATGATTTTGTTTGGGTTTAATATTTTTGCAGCAGTAAATCATTAACTACACTACATTTGATGGTTTCCCCCGCTCTAACTACTATAAATCTGATGCACCGATTGTTATTTTTAAAATTATTTCAAGAACTTTGAGACATTTTTACACTGAATCTGCTCTTATAAACCTTAAAATTGGCTTTATTTGTATAACTTATTTTGCTTTGTAGTCTTTTATTTCTTCCATAGCTGTAGCAGTTATTTCTTGAGCACATTTATAGCATCTATTTAGCCAAAAAAGCCTCAACCTTTAGATCAGTGGTGTCAAACATAAGGCCCAGGGGCCAGAATTGGGCCAGCTGGACGGCTTTGGAAAGTGAAAACAAGGGTGCAGATTTTGGTCTTTTAATTATACACATATACATATACATACATACATATATATACACACACACATATATATATATATACATACATACATATACTGACTTGTGTTTGCTCTGTCATCTGGTCAGCAATATTGACATGCACATTTAAAATAATGTGCCTATATTTTCTTTTATTCTATGTAATATTTTATAAGTGGAAGGTATGCACTCTACTTCCTTTCTAGGTCAGTTTGTTGTGCTCCAAGATAAGTCAGCTTCACCCTACATGCCCCTTCTGAAGCTTGTAAATCCAGGATTGTCAACACACACAAATTAAAAAGCATCTGAATTTTAACTCCTCTTCTTTCGTCCAGGTGAAATCACAACATTATCAGGACAGTTTTAGGCAGCAGCCTGATAAGCGAATGGATGATATGACGGTGGATAGGAGTCAAAAGGTGAACTGTTTTAGTCTTCCCTATGTCAGCATGGGGTATCTAGAATCCAGGCAGGCTGAGACGACAAACATCCCTCTAAGCCAGCGTAAATCATCCAATTAAGACAATCACAAAGCAAGGGCGGCCTTCTCTGTTTATGTCAGATGTTTACCCCAAATGGCATAATGGTCTGATTGGATTAGGGGCCTCCCCGTGGGTGGAGATCGTTTTAAAAAAAACAAATCCCAAACTTTAATTGAAAGTTGTATGGTGGGTGGACTTGCATCCTTTACTACCCACTCAAGCACATTTTAATGATTGCACACATGATGTGTGTACACGCACCCACATCGTGTGTATGTGTGTGTAGGTGTGTGCGCTTAAATCTAATGAGATTATACATTTACCTCAGTGTTTTTGTAAGCTACTTGTTCCATGATACTGGCTGGATGGACACTTCGTATAAACAAACTATGTTACATAACGGTCTTGGTTTAGATAATGTAGTCTGTAGTCAGAGTGGGTTTGTCTGTGATGGAGCGGTGCACTGTGATGACCTTATCCTTAAATGTTAAGCCCTCTGCCGCCTCCTACAGGCTCAAATGAGGGAAGTGCAAACGAATATGGATAACACAGTTAAAGTTCAAACTGACTTTGAATTTACACGAAAATATAGATGATATACAAGAAACATATTTATATTTTAATAACCACAAATTAGATATGCGCAAACTTACTGATCAAGTTGTTAGGTACACCTGCTCAGCTCCTTGTTACTGCAAATATATAATCAGCCAATCACATGGCATCAACCCAAAACAATTAGGCATTGTCAAGATGATCTGGTGCTCGAATTGTGGATCAGAATCAGGAAAAAAGGTGATTTAAGTTAGTTTGAAAGTGCCATGGTTGTTGGTGCCAGATGATGAGCCAGTCGGAGTATTTCAGAAATAACTGAACAACTGAGATTTTTCCACGCAACCATCTCTAGGTTTCCACCAATAAAAAAGAAAATATTCAGCGAGTGGCAGTTTTTCCAGCGTAAATGCGCTGTTGATGCTACAGGTCAGAAGCGAAGGGCCAGACTGCTTAAATGACTGCTTGTTACAACTAAAGTATGCAGAGGAGCATCTCTGACTGTACAGCACGTCAAACCTTGAAGCAGATGGGTTACAGCAGCAGAATTCCACACTGGGTGCCTCTCCAGTCAGCCAAAAAAAAAAGGAAAATGGGGCTTCAATTCACCCGAGTTCACTAGGTGTTGGACAACATGACACTGGAAAACTGTCGTCTGGTCTAATGGGTCTTGATATCCAACATTTGGGTGGTAGGAATTAAGTATAAACAACATAGTCAAACGAGCTTGCAAAGAAAAGCGTCTGGACTTCTTTAAGTTGCTTGAAGACGTTTCACCTCTCATCCGAGAAGCTTCTTCAGTTCTAAGGTCAAATGGTGGGGAGCCAAACAGCCACTTCACAAGCGTATGGCACAACATAGAAGAGCCACCTCCACAGGGCAAGACTCAGCAGTCCATCTGCATCTTAAGGATAAAGGACACTCTTTCGAGGATGCCAATGTTCAAATTTTGGACAGAGAGGACAGATGGTTTGAAAGAGGAGTGAAAGAAGCCCTCTATGTCCACTGTGAGCGACCATCTTTGAACAGAGGCGGTGGTTTACGACACCAACTGTCTGCCATCTATAATCCAGTTTTGAGTTCCCGCCCCAGACACCTTAACGCCCACTCACATCCTGGGCCATCTGACCTCAGGAATTCGCATGATAAGGTGGGGCCAGGTTTCATAATGAGCTCACCCGAAACCCTGGCTGATTGGGACCCACACCCTTTTTCACACCTTGGCTCAGGCGATTAGAGGATCATCAGGGGGTCCTTTTGTCCCTCTTTCGGGGGATACACCTATTAGGTTTAAATCTGGGACTCTCCACCATTTGACCTTAGAACTGAAGAAGCTTCTCAGATGAGAGGTGAAACGACTTCAAGCAACTTAAAGAAGTCCAGACGCTTTTCTTTGCAAGCTCCTTTGACTACGATGACCTGGATGACTGAGAACCTTCACAGATATAAACAACATAAAAGCATATATATCCATCCTAACCTCGTATCAATAGTTCAGCAGCCTGGTGATGATGTAATGGTGTGGGGGATTTTTTCTTGGCATACTTTGGGCCTTTCAGTACCAACAGAGTATCTTTTAACCACCACAGCCTAAGTGAGTATTGCTGCTGACTGTGTCCATCCTTTCAGGGCCACAGTGTACTGATGGTTGCTTCCAGCAGGATAACACATCATGTCACAAAGCTCAAATCATCTCGAACTGGTTTTTTGAACATGACAATGAGGCCACTGTACTCAAATGTCCACAGTCACCAGAACCAACAGAACACCTTTGTGATGTGGTGGAATGGGAGATTTGCATCATGGATGTGTAGCTGATAAATCTGCAGTAACTGTGTGATGCTATCATATCAATATGGACCAAAATCTCAGAGGAATGCTTCCAGTATCTTGTTGAATCTATGCCACAAAGAATTAAGGAAACTCTGAAAGGACTTGCAATTCCAAAGTTTAACTGATGAAGTGGATGGTGTCTATATATACACACTCTCTATATACTATATAGTCCTCTTAATCCTGTTGTCATGTTGAAATATGTTGCTTCAAATCATCAATTTGGCTCAAATGTCATAAAAACCTTACAGAGAAATTTAAAGATCTATTCAAAAAGTGCACAAATAAAACAAATATTATTGCAAGACAAAGTCAACTTTATTTTCTCTCCGATTTCATAGAAAGCTTACAAAAATGGCAGAAGTTCCTTAAAATAAAATACATTAAGTATATTGAATAATAGCAAGCATATCCTAAATCAACATCAGTGCTCAAATGGACAGCTTGAAAACACCTTGCCCTTTTCACATCCACCCACTAGAGGGCAGTAACCAACTGCAGTGAAACACACTTCCCTCCTCTCTAAAGTGAGCGCCCGTTTGCCTGTGGTTTACTCATGTTAGAGAGGTTTTCATATTATTTAAAACAAATCGTTTTCAATGGGGAGATAGTGCATGTCACAAAAAAGGACCAGGCAGAAAAAAAGTACAACACACACACAGGTACTATGCTTTGTTTTGCCTTGTTAAATATTGATTTCTCTGAAGAAGAAAAAGATGATTTTGGTTTCCCAAAACAGACTTGGTCTTTTCTACTTCTGCTTAACTGAATACATCTCCTATGCAGTGTTAGTGCTTAGAGGCTCTGTGCTGTGCCGAGGTAGATAATTATCATGACAGTTAGGAACAGGCGCTAAGTTTCACTGTGGGTCTTTCTGCGATTGCGGTCTCCCTCCAGCCAGTATGCCTCCGTCTGCATCTCCATCAGTCTAGAGATTGTCCTCTGGAAGGCAAAGATCTCTTCCTCGGCTGTGAAGAGGGTAAGTCGCTCTGCTGCCTCCTGAATAGACGAATCGACACCAGAGTTGGCAACTTGTATACTCAAAAGAGAAATGTTTATGCAGCAGGGGAGAAAGATTAAATCATCGGGCTAATGAGCATAGAGTCATCGATTTAATCTCCAGCCTGTACATCTGTGTGTAAATACGTGAAAGTGAATACTGCATTTCTGTAAAAAGGATCTAGATCTTAGTGAATTCTTCCCTAAAACAGAGAAATTGAGGACACAACTTCAATAGCAGCAACAAGCAAGTTTGTTATTAAACGAAAAAAAGAAAATAATAGTGATATCCGATTCAACGGGATAAATAACAGAGATGTGACCTTACCTCACTGAGGCCTAGGTCATCCAGGAGCTGTCGGTCCCTCTCATCATCTCCTCCAGTGTGGGCAAAGAGCCGGTCCAAAGGAGCGTCTGCCAGCAGCACCACCCTCACCTTGGACAAGGGGGCAAGAAAGAGCGATGTGGGAGTTACTGTCTATAACATTAAGGGCTGAGTGTCTGTTTACTGGTAGCTTACTCACACATTCATTCCCTGTCTTGAATTATTGGATTTAAATGTTATTGTGGGACGTGTTATTGTCTCATTGATGTGATAAAAGTGCTCTCATTCACAATCCCAAGGTTTCTTCCTGTTAAGAGTTTTTCCTTCCCACTGTCACAAAGTGCTTGCTCACAGGGGGTCGACTCTTTGTTGGGGTTTTCTCTGTGTCACTGTAGGGTCTTTACCTTACAATTTAAAGCGCCTTTAGGTGATTGTTGTTGTGACTTGGTGCTACATAACTAAAATTAAATCGAATATAATATGGGGTTAAAAGGTAACAAATCAGTGAGTATTAAGTTACCTGTTATGAGGCTGGCACAGTGTTGAGGGGTTTAGCCCTTGTAGTAAATACTTTTTTCAGTGCTGAATAGAGTATTTTGCAAAAAAACCCCAATCAAACAAATGAAAAACCGTGTGAGTGTGATAGTAGCCCTACTGGAGCCTGACTGATATATTTATTGCCCATAATAATCCTAATGATGATGTTGGCCTATCACAGGTACCTGTATTGGTGTATATATTTCCATTACCAGGTCATTAGCTGGGCTTTAATCACTTTCACTGTACCAAAAGATGATGTGGCACCAAAAGCTGGTAAAGTAAAAATTTCCTACCTGTAGCCAGCAAACAAAGAAGACTCTTACATAAAAAAAATTAAAAAAACCAACACGCTTCTCTGTGTGTCTGGGTAGGACTCCAGCTGCTGATTCCATTCATTGCCCTGGACTGCGAGCAAAAGAAAGGCAAGAATCGGCCTGAAGCAAGAGAGCCCACTGACTGTGGCTTACAGAAGTCTGCCTGAACAGGATAAAAGTGACAGGTACTTGGATGTGTATGTCCATTAGCAAGACTGTCAGGAGAGTGTAATGCAAATTCTGTTCAGCTACGAAGGAGTTCCAAATTTCTGATCCAAGGCCAACAAAGAGAGTGAAAAAAGATGTTTGTGGATGATTAGGAATAATACAAAGCACGTCTGATGGTTCACATGGAAACTGGATGACATGGAAACCCACTGTGGAAAATGTCACAAGCAAGACTCACCTTTCATCACAGGGCAACAGGCTAAACATGAAACCTCCATAGAGCAGCACCAATGCTAACATCCAACACAACCTGTCAGGGCGCAAGACTGCAGTGACCCAAGGGAGCATATACATGGAGGCATGACTAGCTCCATGGTTGACACCTCATTCAATTTATCAAGCCGGGAGAGTGACGTAGCAACATGACATCACAAGGCATCCCAAGACCCCTTTCTCCAGGAAAGGATTGGGGCAGTAGGGTTGCCCTTGATATACGGCTTCAGTAGCATTCATATATCACCAAAGATCACCACAACATATTCATATTTATCCAGAGCTCTGGACAGATTCTGCCAAGGCTGCCTTTCAGTGTTCAGGATGCTCATAATCGTACCACGATTAAACATCCAAAGCTTCAGAGAGTCAGGCTGGACCACTGTCAAAAGGTGGAGTATGATGGCCTTTAGCAGCATGTCAACAACACAGCTGCCTAGAGATGTAGGTGCACCCAGGTGGAGAAAACTCTGTGGAAGCTCTAATGCTCCTCCTCCTTCTCATTTAATGGTTTTACTTAATTTTTACTACTTTGTAAATTGTAGATACATACTGAAGATGTCAAATACATGAAACAAGATATATGGAATTATGTAGCAAAGAAAAAAAGATAAATAACTATAAACTAAATATGTTTTATATTTTAGATTCCTCAGAGTAGCCACCCTTTATTTGTTGACAGCGCTACAAACCCTTGGTCTTCTCTCAGTGAGCTTCATGATGTAGTCACCTGAAATGGTTTTCACTTCACAGTTGTACCTTATCAGGGTTCATTTGTGGAATTTCATGCCTTCTTAATGGGGTTTGGACCATCAGTTTTGTTGTGCAGAAGTCAGGTTGGTACACAGCTGACAACCCTATTTGACAACCGTTAGAATTCATATTATGGCAAGAACCAATCAGCTAAATAAAGAGAAATGACAGTCCATCATTACTTTAAGAATTGAAGGTAAGTCTATCCAAAAAATTGCTAAAACTCTGAACGTGCCCCCAAGTGCAGTCGCACAAACCATCAAGCACTACGATGAAATTGGCTCACATGAGGATGTGAGCCAATTTCTGAGGATGAATTTATTTGAGTCACCAGCCTCAGAAATCGCAAGTTAGCAGCACCTCTGATTAGAGCCCAGATAAATGGCACACAGAGTTCCAGTAGCAAACACATCTCTACATCAACTGTTCAGAGGAGACTGTGTGCATCAGGCCTTTATGGTCAAATAGCTGCCAAGAAGACACTACTAAGGAAAAGCAATCAGGAGAAGAGATTTGTTTGGACCAAGAAACACAAGGAATGGAAATTAGACCAGTGGAAATCAGTACACTGGTCTGAGGACTTTGGTTCCACACGCTGTGTCTTTGTGCGATGCAGAAAAGGTGAACGGATGGTCTCTACATGAATGTTCCCAACGTGAAGCATGGGGGAGGAGGTGTGATGGTGTGCAGGTGCTTTGCTGGTGACGCTGTTGGTGATTTATTCAATATTGAAGGCACGCTGAACCAGCATGGCTACCACAGCATCCTGCAGCGACATGCCATCCCATCCGGTTTGCGTTTAGTTGGACAATCATTTATTTTTCAACAGGACAATGACCCCAAACACACCTCCGGGCTGTGTAAGGGCTATTTGACCAAGAAGGAGAATGATGGAGTGGAGCTCTGGACTGTTGGAAAACCATTTCAGGTGACTACCTCATGAAGCTCATCGAGAAAATGCCAAGAGTGTGCAAAGTTGTAATCAAAGCAAAGGGTGGCTGTTTTGAAGAATCTAAAATATAAAACATGTTCTGAGTTATTTCAGACTTTTTTTGTTTACTACATAATTCTATATGTGGTAATTCACAGGTTTCATGCCTTCAGTGAGAATCTACAATGTAAATAGTCATGAAAATAAGAAAAAACATTAAATGAGAAGGTGTGTCCAAACTTTTTTTAGTGTATATATATATCTTGTTGGAAGCCAAGAGTCGAGTATTTTATATTACACACTCTTGGTTTTGAACTGAGATGTCGAACACATCCAACACTTTTATGGATGTAATGTAGGAAGATTTCTAAAAGTTGTAAATAAAGGCAGAAAAGCTGCATTAGAAATCCTTCGGTAACACATGAGTGTAATAGAATCCATGCCTTTCATTCTTTTTTTTTGTTTTCACCTTTTTGTCATAGAAGTTGTCTATGAGGGTGGTAAAGCGTCTGGCCTGATCCTTCATCGACAGCGTCAGCACGGGAACGCGGCGGATCAATACTGTGTCGAAGAGCCGCGCCATCTCCAGGTAATCGCTGGCACCCAAAGCCTGGAGAACGACAGAGCATGTGAGATACTGAAACAAAGTCAGACCCGAGCTTCAAACAGACAGCACACCACAAAAGAACACATCAAAGATTTCAGCTTTGCACATGTGCACATCTGCTCCATAAATGGGTACAGGCACTGTGAATTTCTGCACTCTGCACACATGGCCTGAAAAAATGACAACTGTGAAGTGAGGGCACCTTGTGCAAAAAGGTTCTAGCTGTTGTAATTTTTGTCCTCGTCCTTGGTTCTTTGCCATTCAGGCTGATTGCTCTTAAAATTAATGAGGACTCGCCAACATATGCCAGAGGAAGCCTTGAAGCTCACATGCCTTCTAAAACTCACCGCTGTCCATCAGGGTTGAGACTTTGCACACGCTACACACTTCCTTTTTCAGGTGCAGTGGGCACAACTAATCATAAAAAATGTCAATAGACTTTCTTTTTGACATTGAGCAGAAAATACCTCATCCAGTTCAAAGGCCCGGACAATAAACAGAGCATAGAGGTAATACAGGGACAAGAGAAGTGCTTCGAATTTGAGCAGTTTTGATTAGTAATGAGTGGATTTTGTGTGTCTCAGTAGAAAAAAAAAAGAACAAGAAAAAGGATGTGGTTTGACTTTGGTTAGAGGTCACAGGCTGTTTTAAATGCCATCAAGCAGTTCTAATTTGTTCTCTATCTGTATAGCGAGTAACTGTGGTGTTAAAGCTAAAAACCAAGAAAAGCTTACCTTAAAACACTCCTTGTTTTACTCTAAGTTTTATGTGGCCAAAAGATGTTAAGTGTCGTTATGTATCAGCCTGTTTTGTTGCACAATAATGACAAATTAATCGTAACAATGCTCACTCTGCCGCACAGCTCATCAAAAGTACAGTCAGCAACGGTTCCGCAGGTCTTTTCTAGAGTCACATCTCTACCCAGCACTGAGAGCACCCGGGGACCTGTAGCTATGGAAACACACACACAATGTACAATGGCTACAGTATATACATGTAGTTAGGTTAAAAGGTAGTATATTTATGAAATTTGCTTTACTACACACTCACGATTTTTGATCTTTTAACCTCTAATATAAGACAAAATAAAAGAAAACATAATGAAAAATACTGTTTACTACTAAAAAACTATTTACTATACAATTAAACCCTAAAATTTCACAGTATTACAAAAAAAAAAAAAACCCTTTAAGGCCCAGTAATTTTGAAAATCTAAGTTCAAGTCTAGAGTTTGTTTTTAATTTAGAATTGTGCAGCTTTTGTTTTTTCCTGTTGAATTATAACATATAAAAAAATGACATGTAAAGCATCACAAATAGCCCAAAAAAAGTACAATTGTATTATCTATGTAGTTTAACCCTGATAAATGTTATTTCTCTGTGCCACAGACTTCTATTGTTGTAACAGAACTATTTAAAGTAGGTGAGTGAGCCGTCTCGTGGGCTTGGGTGACATGAAAATTAGCATTTAAAAAAACCTTCAGCAGATACACTAGATAATCCTGTATGATTGAAAAGTCATGGTCTTCAAAATCCCCAGCTGTTTCGGGAATTTAAAAAGACAACAACAATAAAATAAAAAATTAAAATCTATTTTTGAGCCTTAAATACTAAGAAAGGATAAATGTGAGACAAATTAAGGTAGAAATTGATGATTTGTCTAATTGTTATCAACACTGTTGATTTTGGTATTTTCTTTTATCTTTCATATATATAAATATTACAAAATGTGTAATTTTGACGTGTCCTTGTGTCACAGAAAAAAAGTAAAACATAATCAATTTTTCTAAAATGCATTGTCTTCCTTAAATGCCCTTACCACTCTTTTGTCTTAATGAGAGCTCTTCAAACAGTGCATCCAAGAAGGCCTCTGCACCAGGCTCCCCTGTGCTGCACAACACACATGCACCAGCGCGCGCACACACAGGCAACGAAACAGAAAGGAAATAATAGGATATGAAATTAATAATGCTGAAGTGGCCACATCAAACGGTGGCAGCAAGGAGAGCAGGGGAGAGGGGTACTTAGCTTTTCACTCCATCGGTAAAAAACAGGATGTTAGGCTCTAAACACAAGCATTAGCCTGTGAATACACGTCGAAATGAGATTGTGAAGTGTGTGTGTTCGTGTCTGCGTGTGCTTGTGTTTTAACTCCAGGTAAAAGGGTGTGATGTACTCTATTTACATACAGTGAAAAGACGAAAGCACTTGTTTGCCTGCGTGCGCGAGTTCCTAACAGCGCATATGTAACAAGGAAAATAGAAAACTAGCTTTTAAAGCTCTGCCCTTTTCTCATATTCTATTGACTCCTCTTTTTATTCTTTTCATGGATCTCTCAAGGTAATGCAGGTCTTTATAAACCTCCCAGCCTGCGTCTCCCTCATTTATTCATCTGTTTGCCTTTTCTTTCTGCCCAAACTACATGATGTGCACAAGCATTTCCTGTGTTTGTGTGCGTGTGTGTGTGTTTAATGCAGGTTAATGTCAACTCAACCCAGCCTCCGCACAAACTCTGGGCTGAGGAGGACTATAAAGAGGGAAGCAGAGAGGTAGTGTGCTTGTGTGTGCGTGTTTGTGTGTCTTACACGTAGTAAATTTTCCCTGCTGCAGCCTCGCCAAGCTTCCTGTAGTCAATCCCTGTGTCTAAGCAGACGGTGTGGCAGTATTCCTGTTTACACACACACACACACACACACACACACACACACACACACACACACACACACACACACACACACACACACACACACACACACACACACAGTTATTTGTGCTCTTTTTGCCCCATAATTTTATGTAAATGACTAATTTAGAGACAACTTTTAGCATCAGCTTCATTGAGCCCGTGAGCATTTACAGCAGCAGGACCTCCTGTGTGACTGACGACAAAATTAAATACAGTTTCCATGTTTGTCACAAGGAGATTTGAATGTTTCTGGACAACACTGACAGTCTAAGACGTGTCAGGCTTCATCTAACACACCTAATCGATTATTCTTGTCCTTTTATTTGATAAAAAGATAAGGAAAATTAAAGAAATATCAGAACTTTGTACATTTTTCGCTTAGCTCTGATTTTCATATTGGTGATTGCTGATAGAAATGCTAAAACATATTGCACTTCTTCAGGTTTAAATCATTGTGACAGCTTGATTTGTCTTGATGATGCATTGTTAATATGGCAACCCTGTAAAATGGACAATCAGAGCTTTGTGTCTTCACTTCTTTCACACTAAAATGGATACAGAACAACCCTAAAAAGTATTAAATTAAATAACAAGGCATCGCAGAAGGCAGCCGGCATCTTATCTCCTATCCTCCGACAGCTTTGGGATTTTGTGTCAGCTGTTCTCGGTTTGCCGAGCCGATCCATTGTTCTGCAGCTATTCAAGTGCGTTACAGCAGGGGTGAACCTGCGATGCAGGGTTCAAACTTTTCCACATAGAGTAAAACGTCAACAAGATTCATGTCAGGGAGTACAGCACAAACTATAATCATCATCTCCACTATTCTATCAAAGAAAAGAGAGGAACTGCATATCATCCCATCCAAGCCATCATCGGCTGACTGAGTATTCAGCGACAGCTCCAGTAAATTATGAAATCAGTGAATTTCTGCCACTGGCCTCCTTAAGCTGCAGGATAATTAGTAATCATCACAAAGCAAGGGGACGGAAATACTCTATTCTTCTCTGCTGTCAACTTTTTATCTCCGTGTCCGCTCACACAAACGGGGTTCCCACTCTGAGCCAATTGGCTGAATCAGGCTTAATAACAACCTGACAAACTCGCCCTCCCCCACGCACAAAAGGGAGGTGTCATTTCATCAACCTACTGTGACCCCACCAACGGGTAAATAGTCCCTCCAGAAAAGAAAAAAAAAAGTAGGAAAAAAAAACTTGTCACTATTGCCGCCACATCATTAGTATCTCAGTTTGTCTTTTCTCCTGCCATCTTCAACTCCCTCCCTTTATGAACCTCGTCTCTAACGTACCAACGGTAAAGGCGGTTGTTGCGTTCCTTGACGGAGGAGCGAGGTGCAAATACGAGAGGGGAAAAGAAGGAGGAATGGAAACACAATCAGTGATGATGATTCCATTGGTTATTTATAATCAGATGAGGCTGAGGCCTCGCGGGTCATTACTTGATTATCCATCTTGAGGGGATTGTCAAGTTCTCACTCCTCTAAGATTTTTATCCGCCTACACATTGTGGTTTTGCAGCCTCCCCGCACCCCGACGCCGCCACCGACAACCTCCTCTCGCAAATGTAGTCAGTCTACTTTGCAACTTTTAAATCTCGTCTTAAACAGTCCCTTCAGTTTAATCGGCGAATGGCGATGTACAAATAGTGGAGTAACAGCTTTTTTTTTCTTTCGTCAGGTGGACGGATAGAAGAGGTGATCATTTATTTTAAGGAAAAATGATAAAAATGCGCTCGTGCTGCAAGTTGAGAAAATATTTAGGTTGTAACAAATTTGTTGGTCACAAGTGTGCAGTCTTTAGATTTTTTTTTATTTAGTAATTTTAAAGGCTCACAATTTGATTAATTTATCCATTTGCAATACTTTGAAGTTTTTCTAATGGAATTTTGTAGTATTTTCTATTTTCTAAATAATCACCTCTTTAGATTTTGTCTTGTTAATTAACTTAAAAGAAACTCCAATCTGCAGTTTTTGTTATTTTAATCATTATTAAGACACATGACAGATTAAACCATAAAAAGAAAAGAAGTGCAGCCCTAAGGTTTATTACCATCAGGCAACAATATTAGCTTTTTAAACTAGTGGTGTAAAAACCTGGCAAACGTTTCGCTGATTCAAAGAAAAGCAGCAAATTAAGAGTTCCCCTGCTCGCACAGATGCATTCACCGGCTCAGACACAAGAGAGAGAGATGACAGACATGAGAATCAGAGACTCTTTGGAAGAAAGTCATCCAAACACATGTAGCTCCAATCATGTCATTGTCCAAGCTGTCCACTGCTCTCACTGGACAGCCGTTTAGCATAAAAACAGAGTGGCTTTTTTTTTTTTTTACCCCCCTGCTCCCTCCACTCCCCTCTGTGCCCGCTCCCTCCATGACATATCTTTCTCTATCCTTTACTCCTCAAAAAGTTGCTTTTGAGTTTTTCAAAGAGCGCGGTGCCATTGAGCTGCAACAAAAGCCAAGGATAGCTGACTATTGGGCCCCTGATGAGGTCCACTCCCTCATTACCCAGCAGCAGAAAACATTTGATGCTTTTTTTTTTTTTTTGTTTGGCCTGGAGAATTGACCAGGCCTCAAAGAAATGCAGGGTGGGAAGGCTGAAAAAGAGACGGGGGTTGGAGGGGGGTGAGGGGAGGAGGGGAAAGGTTGTCGTTCATTCATCCGTGTGTGTCTTACAGCCTTGTGTGGAGGGACAGGAAAAAAAAAAAAGTGGGAGGTGGCAGGGACAGAGGGGTCGAGAGAGAGGGAGAGAGATGTGTGTGTGTGTGTGTGTGGCGGGGGGGGGGGGGAGAGCTTAAAACAGTGCCTTTATGCTGGCAAGTTCTGGACGACTCTTCTGACATCAAAGTGTTTTCACTAACTGGGGAGCTGCTTAGTTAGTGTGTGTGCGTGCACGCATGCGAGCCGGCTGGGGGTGTATCTGGTGATTTTATTCATTCTTGGGCCGTCTGGGGGGGTACGTGACAATGTGAACACCCTAATTACACCTAATGATCTATTCCCTTAAAGTGTGACTGCCTTGGGCCGGCGATGGATTGTTCTGCAGGGTCGTTCTCACAACCTCCTCCTGCCTCGGCTGCTCCTCTTGGGGAAACATCGTTTGAGTTGGAGGCCCCATCTTTTGTGATCCAGGACCCCACCGGACCCCCCGCTCTCAACCCATCGAGTTTCGTTGGCCCAGGACTGAACCAAAACGGTAACTCGGGCAGTGTGTGCTACCTGCACCTGGCCAACAGAGGCTCCATTTGTTGATCGTGACAGACGCGAGCAAAACATGGGCTCCACACAGTTTATTACAAAAAGTTGCTCTCTGATCATCTTGTATAGTATAAACCTGCAAGACCTTTACAAGAAGACTTCAACAATGTAGCATTGCAGTCTTTTAAACCTGCAGGACTTTATGTGCACAATTAAAAAGGAATCAGCAAAATTAAATAAGAGACTTCATCTTTCTTGTTCTGTGCACTGTGAAAACCTGTCCGTACTACCCCCATCCATCTGAGATTTTGTACCGCTGACTTTGTAAAAAATTTTTTTTACATATAAGTTAATTCTCCCCAGCACCTCGGTCTCGAGTTAGATTGTGTTCTGTCTTAGTCTGCTGCCTATAAAGATACTGATTAGTGAATAACTAATTATCTGGTGTATTAAAATGGATGCAAATAATTCAAATCTGACATTCAAAAGGGTATTGATGTCAGTAATATACATAAAGTTAGTCTCAGAATAGAATTTCTGTTAGGATCACTGTAGCCAAAAATTGTTATTTCCATGTGTGGTCACTTATATTTGGTGGCACAGTTCTGTTCTGGGACCTCCTCCTGTGGGTTTTGAAAGCAGCAAGAAGACGACAGAGCAGGCATCAGTGAATAAAGATGTCACAGTGATTCAGATAGGTAGGGTGAACATGGTTTGCACATGTGACTTTAGTCAGTTTAGTCAGTTTGCCAGATGATGTGGGCTCCCACTGAGATCAGCTGATCTACTGGGAGAGGAGCTTGACTTTATGTCACTTCCGGGGTGGCTTGACTTCTACTGTTTTCCCTGATTTCCTGGTTGTCTGTACTGTGACTAGCAAAGGCAAAACCGCACCCCATGAAAGTCGAATTAAGAGACATTTCTATATTTGTACACGCTTACTATTACACATCTGACATCTGAACACTCTGATAGAAAACAGGAAAACATCATTTGCCCAAACGGAACCAAGGTAACTGCCATAATTAAAATTTAGGTAACAATTAGGATCCTGGTCTGATTCTTTGTGCTTAAAAGAAATCGATTTGTCCTATCACCCCTTGTTCAGGTTTCAGAACAGACAGCGAGAGACACTGATATGAAAGAAGTGAGCTTTGCCCTCGAAGCATGCTGCCATTAAATATTTTAAAAGACAATGACTGTCATCAAATATCAAAATCTATTTGATTTGAACTCTTCCAGCTCTTCACACACGGTCCTTCTTACCAAGGTCTTCAGTGGAGGACCACGTCCCTCTCATTCTTCAGTTTTTCCCTTTCTCTCTTTGTCATTCTGTTTTGATTTATATATTTCATTTTTTCTCATCACCAACTGCTCAGCACAGAGCCAGTATTGACAGTGACACAAAAAAAAAGAGATGAAAAGTGGATCAAAAGAAGGGTTAAAAACAGATAGAAACTCAGAGATACTCAAAGTTGCCTCAGGGTTGTTGTCATGTTTTTCTCCCCTCGGCAGCTTTGTGCGCAACTGCAATCGAACAAGTGGAGGGAAAATAAAGTCACTATTCTGCTACCAAAATACAGAGACCTGACCTTGGGTGAGTAAAGCCAGCGAGCAGAACAGGATGGTGATAGAATAAAGAGTGGGGATAGAGGGGTGGAGAGAGAGGATGGGCAATGAAAAGTGGAGTGGAGAGCGAGGACAGTTTGCCAGAGAGAGAAAGAGTGTCTTCGTTACAATACTGGCAGCATCCATTAAAAAAAAGAAAGAAAAAAAACCCAAACCCTGTATTTCACGAAACTACGAGCTTTGCAGCGGCTGCAAAGAAAAAGACGCCGGAACAACTGAATAGACTCATAAATGGAGTCTACAGAGATGCTACAAAGGACGAGAGATTACAAACGACTGTGTGGATGAAAAATAGCAAACAAACTAAATGATGAACAATAAAAAAATAAACAGCGTCTTCTGGATTAAATGAAGTTGTATGTAGCCCGTGCGTTGCAAGTCATTAAATCATTTTTTAAATATAAAACTGGATGATTGTGGAAGATCGGGAGCTGCAGAAGGAAAGGTGACCCAACTAATCAGAAGTCAACAGTTAGATAAAGACATCATCCGAGGCGGACAAAAGTGGCGGATTAACCCTTACCACTCCGGCTCAGGTGATGAGGGGAGGAGGTCAGAGGCTATTTTTGTATGTTAACACCCTCTTTTCTCTCCTGCACTCACCATAGAAACACACGCTGGCATGCACATGCGGAGGCGATCTGCGCCGAGTCAGCGGCTGCTCCCTGCGAGCATTCATTCAATCTATTAAGGGTCAGCTAGTTAGCAAGCTTTAACTTTACAGGACAGATCACTATAGAGAATCCATAGCACCCCACCTAAAAAACACCCCCAAACCCTCCAACCAGATGGCCTCACAAAGGAAAACATGGTATCCTGAAAGAGAGGAGCCAGTACGGGGCAGAGAGGGACAGCAGGCATTCAGGACCTTGATGAGGGTGGATTAGAGAGGGCAAGGGTGCTGCTGCTGCTGGGTTAGCAGGTGGGGTGCAGGGTGAGTCCAAGACTCTATGCAACTTTTAGTGGGTTTGACTTCAAATGTGCGTGTGTTTAATGTTACAGTGGTTTGATAACTCTGGTCAGGTTAGATTGCCTGTATTTTGCACACATATTCACTTTAGCATTTGTAATGCAACAGATTATTTATTATATCAGAGATAAATCGGAGTTTTAGGGTTAAAAATACTGTGATACCTGAATATATTCAGAGGCAATGCCATGTTAAGTCATTTCATAAATAACCAAGCCTAAATTAATCTGAGTGACTATGTTCTATATCATGTATTGTATTTCTTTAACAAAATCCCCATCATAGTATGAACAAAAACGAATGCATTTGTTTTCAAAAATAAACCAAAAGTCAATAATAAGGCGTTTACTATTGTATATGTATAATCCTGTGTAAAAGTTCCTATTAAAAGTAAATGAGGCATGCCGAATAATAATGAGAATTTAACAACAATTTCATTCAAAAAGCCACAAAATTCAAGCAGCAGTATGAGTGGCGATTTTCAGCGCACTCACAAGAGAGCATTTATCTACTACTTCATACCAGGAGTGTGCCTGAGCCAGACCTTAGCCGAGCACTGCTTATGTGACTGTGTGTGTGTAAAAAATGTCTGCTTTCAAACTAAAGGTCATAATATATAACAAGATATTCTATAGGGAATCCCTAATAAAGTCAGCGTGGTCAACCTGGGGCATTAAGGAAACTCTTAGTTTTGGTAAATTAGAACTTATTATTAATTATTGGCCGTCCTACATAACGAAACGATGGCAGTGCAAGTGGTTTGCATCAATGTGATTATATGAAACTGGAAGGTTGCACAGCTCAGGTGCCTCATACTTACAGGACTTCATATTGTTCAATTATGAGTTTATCCGGTACGTTTAGTGTCAGAGGAGGGGTTCTCAGTTTTAAATTCTTAATAACGCTAAGCTGCTTACTTTCACTTGCTATCTTGCCCAAAAAAATTGCAGCAGTGTCAACGCTTGCCTTTACTATTCAGACAAAATACCAATAAAAGGCGCAAGAATGCTGCCCTCCTCTGTTGCAAAATGCATGACAACAAATTAATATGCAATTATTTATGATCACGATCACTCCAAACACATCAATGATCATCTGGGATGCAGGCAGGATAATGGTGCTACCTGCTTAAATTGCAAAGTAGATTTTTCGCTAGAAATGCTAACCGTCACATCGCTCCTGTTCTCCGCTCCACCCCCCGCCCACCACCCCCCTCTACTTTTGAAATGCAAGCAGCCTGGGTCAGTCACAGCTAGTCCACCCATCTCCCACTCTCCCATTCACATTACCTGTACCCACTCACACTCTTTTCCATCTCTCTCTGCCTTTCTCTCTCTGTGAGTCTTTCAGTGTGCCCTGGTATGATCAAAGACAGCTTTGTGACACTGTGTGAAGCATCCATGAAGCAGAAAACATCAAACCACTAAGAGCAACTTGCAAAAAGACGGACACAGAGGCATACATGCAAGTGTGTGTCCGTGTATGTGTGTGTGCGTGCGTGCGCGCGCGAGATAAACAACTGAATAAATTAGAAAGACAAGAGAGAGGGATGACTTTGTCTCTACCTTCAGCACATCGATGAAAGGTAGGAAGGTGTCCCTCTGAAGTCCGTTTTTGTACAGATCTGAAAGAGGAAGGGAGGGCCTGTATTAGAGCTGCTGTTTAGCCTTCTAATAATGTCATCCCCTCGCCACAGATTGGCAGATAAAGTGGCTATTGATGAACTGAAGGATGGGTGGGGAGGCACGACAAAAGGGACTGGGACCAGGGGAGAAAAATGGATTTCTCTACCGGCAGCGGCAGCAACATAAAATTCATTACATTCCCAAACAATGGTGGCCAGAGAAAGGACTGTCGCCTTTTCAGCACGGACAATGTCCACAGCAGCTCGCTGAATAGAGGTTTCAATTAGCTCGGCTGGAACAAATTACATCTGAAGTAGCATCCCTGATAGACAGATAAAACAGATAGGGATTCACACACAAACAGGGACAAAGACACACACACAGCGAGGCTCAAGCTCTCTCCAGCTGCAAATGCAAACAAGTGGCCGTTGTTGATGTTTGGACTTAAGCTTACTACAGTAGGACCTGACACAAAAATAACCTTTGCTTAATAACTTCTATACTGTAATGGACTGTGCCCTGTGAGACTGGAATATGCCAAAGGTTTATGAAAGAGAGTTCAGTGTTTTGGGACGTACATTTTTCTTCCTTTATTGGTGCAAATCTAGTCCTTGTAGAATGTCCTAAAATGAGGTAAATACATAAAACTCGTGATGTATTACACATGTCATTATTTACTTAACAAAAACTAACCCACGATGCAGAAGCAGTGTGTGAAAAACTAAACATTCACTGCAGTAATTGTGTTAGTAATTGTTACGTTTTGGGGGGGCATTTGTTTATGTACAGCTCTCTTAAGGTCCAACCACAGCATTTAAATCAGGCTGAGATGTGGACTTCGACTGGGCCTTTGAAACACATTGGCTGAAAATTAGAAAATAATCAATCTGTTTTAGATTTGCTGCTGTGCTTGAGATCATTTCTTGTTACGGAAACACATTTCTCACATGTGACTCTAAAATACTTTGGTATACAGAAGAGTTCATGACTGTTCCCAGATCATGTGGCTGCAAAATACCCTTCTCCTGCCGTGCTTGACAGTTGTTATGAGGTGTTTGTGCTGGTATGTTGTGTTTGGACTTCATAAAATGTGCTGTGCAATATGGTCAAGCATTTCCACTATGGTCAAGTCTCTCCAAAGGACTTTTTCTAGAAGTCTTGTGGTTTGTGCAACTCTGGAAACAAAAGCTGTGCTGCCATGCTCTTTTCTTCAGGTAACCCTTCCAAACAAGTCATACTTGTTCAGTTTTTTTCTAACTGTACTCTCCTGGACTTCAACATTTAACATGCTAACCTGTAGAGTCTGAGATATGGAGCTTGCAGTTTTTCTGAGGTATGCGCAGTTTGAAGAATCTTCCTTAGTGTAGAATAATAAACTTCAAATTGTTTGGAAATGGCTTTATAATTCTTCCCACAGTAAAGGGCAGCAACAGCAATTGCTTCTTTAAGATCACTGCTGATATCTTTCTTTCTGCACTGTATTAACACACACCTGAATGCTCCATACTAGCAAACTGCCAAAACTCTGGCAGACGCTCACTTTGGCAGATGCTCACACTGATGATCAGTTAATCAACTACATTTGATTAGTAGCACCTGGCCGCTAGTTACCCTACCCTAATTCCTGTAGAAACAGTACAGATGTTCTTAATTTTTCACACAACCCTTCTAAAAGTTTGGCTTGACTTTTAAAAAATAAATGCCATATTTTTTGGACTATAAGGCGCCAGATTATGAGGTGTACTGTTGATGAACGGGTCTGTTTTCATACATAAGGTGCACCGGATTATAAGGTGCATTAAGTGACACAAAACAGACAGATAAGTCAAACTTTACTCAACTCATTCTTCTTGCTTCCTTCCCTTCCGTATCATTGATTCATTAATGTTGAATTCTCTGGCAGCTGCTCTATTCCCATGTTGTTGCAGCATATTAATGACTAACCTCGTATTGTGGATGGATTATCTCAGTTGTTCTCCTGACTGAAGTTTGGTCCATTTACAGCATCCTGCCATGCGATTGCATTTGTCCCTAACCATCGGGAATCCTCACGTTAACTTTTATCAAGTGGAAAAAAGTTAGCGTTCATCCTCCAGCCACTGTGTTTATGGTATGCTATCATAGCTGTGTTGCTAGGGATTAGTAGCACATCATTATATACCAGCTATTCCAACTTCAGTAACCCTACAAAAGTCACTGCTGTTTAGTTTTCTGTCTTCATTTATGTTGGAAGAGATAGCAGAGCTGTACGTTTGAATTTTTTAGAAATCTCTCAGTCAGAACATGCTATGTATGTTTAGGTGAAAACTAGTGCGCTAACTTCCTGCTAACCTCTAACTCTGTTAAATTTAATAAATTCTGTTTTCATGGATGCCTGGATGCTAAACTTAGTTGTTACACCTGGTAAAGGAGCAGCTGATCATTTTATTAAAGATGAAGGAATTTAGACAGTTTTGAACTCTCAGTCACGCTGCAGTGTTTGTTTGACTTTGGGACCTGAATTCTATGATGTGCTTTGTTAGTCTGTTTCTCAGCACTGACCCGAACAAACAAACAGAAACTTAAAATGACTACGGCCAAAATGCAAACACTGAGGCTTCAAAATATGGAACCTAAAACCATTAGTCCATTTTTGTAATCTTCTTCTTCTTTCGATCTCTATAGCGGATCCCCTGCCTCCATCTCACCCTATTCCTAGCATCATATGCGCGCCTTCACTCCTGAAGCTCCATATTTAATGCCCTTTGTCAAGTGTAAAGTAAATTCCCATATACTTTACACTTGTATATGGGAATAGATCATTTGTTTTTCTGGTGTTCTATTGCTAGCTTTGTACACACTATAAGTGTAACATAATAAGAGGCACTGAGTTGCATTTGCTGTTACTTCAAGTTGCTGAAGTCTAGTGAGTTAAGCTACTGCTAAGCTAGCGTATGTAGACTCAACAGTGTCAGCCCAGTCAACACAGAACAGGAAACAAAGTAGTGCGTCGGCAGGTGACAAGGCGATCGTGGCTCAAGAGTTGGGAGTTCGCCTTGTAATTGGAAGGTTGCCGGTTCGAGCCCCACCTTGGACAGTCTCAGTCGTTGTGTTCTTGGGCAAGACACTTCACCCGTTGCCTACTGGTGGTGGTCAGAGGGTTCGGCAGCCTCGCCTCTGTCAGTGCGCCCCAGGGCGGCTGTGGCTACAATGTAGCTTGCCATCACCGGTGTGTGAATGGGTGGATGACTGGATATGTAAAGCGCTTTGGGGTCCTTAGGAACTAGTAAAGCGCTATAAAAATACAGGCCATTTACCATTTACAAGGCCAGAGCAGCACTGCTAATGAGTGAGGAGACATGTGCCACTGCACACTTTACTGGAACTGGATTAATACATAATTCAATAGAGCCTAATAATTAAAAACATTTGCGATCAGTGGAATTAAATGGGCTAATGTAAACTGCATGCTATCAACTATAATGCCCCCCAATCTAAAAAAAAAAAAAAGACACCATTTATCCCTCCATCCCTCTTCAGCTGCATTAAACCCCCATCAAACAACAAAACACTGAACGTTCTAGCACAAACCTATCTCTGAATTCCCCCTCCAAGCATGTCTAGGGCTTTTTGATACTAGCATCTCCACATCAATAAACACAGAAAATGCATGCCTTTCATGTCTAGTTGTCTCCTATGGCTTTTAGAGTTCCATTAACCATGTAATTAATACCAAGTAGCCTCTCTATCAAGTTTCCCTGGTTTGGGGCTTTGTTCTTAATAGCTAGTAAATATCAGAGACGTGCATCTTTGTCTATGAGAGCCACCTTGTTGCCATTCACTCCGTACCCACTCAAGGCTTTGAGACATCGACATTACATGTACCCAAAGACGATGAAGATCTTAGATAGCACATCATGCATTTATCTCCACGTTGATCACTTGCTAATTCCTTCTCCATCCTTGCTCTGCGGGCAGTAAATGCAACATCAAAGCCTGTTAAAAGATGGCGTCATGTCTAGGCGGGAGAGGTGAGGTGTTTTTTTGGTCAATTGCCGTAAACAGGACGCAGCTGGTTCAATTCTTGCAGGAGAAAAGTATTTTGAAGACAATTGTGGTCAAAATAAAGTAATCTATGGTTGTAAGTACCCTCACTGGCAACTTTAGGTACACCTATTCAACCTTTTGTTAATGCAGATTTGTTAATTATTCAATCACAGGGAAGAAACTCAGGCGTATAGAGGCATATAGAGTCTAATCGACCTGCTGAAGTTCAAACATTAGATGCATCAGAAAGGGGAAGGAAAGTGATTTTGAGTTTCGTATGGTGAATATTTCAGGAACTGCTGATTTTCTGATGGTTTGCCTGCACAGAGTGAAACAGAGTGAGCACCATTTCTGCAGTTCAAAATGTCTTGTTAATGTCGGAGATCAGAGAAGAGCAGAACTAATAGCAAAACCTGTTGTTACAACCAAGGTATGCAGAAGGGCATCTCTGAATGTACATCATATCAAACCTTGAAGTAGGTAGGGTATACAGGAAACTGAAGCTTGAATTTGCACAGACTCACCAAAATTGGTCTGAGTCTCAATTTCTGCCGCAACATTTCAATAGTAAACAAGATGAAATGGCTCCATCCGGTGCTTTATCAATAGTTTAGGCTGCTGCTGGTGATGTAATGGTGTGGGGGATATTAGCTTTGTATCAGCTCAGCATAACTTTACTGCTACAGCCTGTCTGAATCTTGTTGCTGATCACGTCCATCTCTTTATGAACGCAGTGTATCATCTTCTCATGGCTGATTCCAGCAGGTTAATGCGCCATATCACAAACCGCAGATCATCTCAAACTGTTTTCTTGGACAATAAATTAAGGTTATTGTATTCAAATGGCCTCCACAGTCATCAGATCTCAGTCCAATAGAGCACCAATAGAGTTGCATCACAGATGTGCAGCTGATAAATCTGCATCAACTGCATGATGCAATCATGTTAACGTGGTGAATCTGTGCCACAAAGAATTAAAACAGCCCTGAAAGGAAAAGGGTGTCCAACCCAGTGCTAGAGTGGTTTACCTAATGAAATATCAGTTGAGTGTATATTAGCTTTTCACTGGCACTGTCAGATTATAAATGGAGCTAAATTTCCCCAAATTAACAGTTTTCAGACTCATGAAGATGACAAAGCTTGAAACTACATGTTTGGAAGCTGCAATGAAAGACATCAAATTTCTTCTATTTTGAGATTTCATTATTATCTCCCACTTCAATATCTATATTACTGACAATTTGTAGTCGCAACCATCTATCTTGATGTTGACAGTGTTTTCTGCTGAGACGCTAAAATTACAGCTGACTCTCTTGGTTTTTAACTCATTGCTTTAAATAAAATTTTAAGAAAAGAAGTAGAATGGGAAGACATGCACAAGATATATTATTATTGCTACAGACTACAACAATATAATTAATAAGGAATAGCTAAAACATGCATAAAATGTTTGCTGGTCATACCATCAGGGGGTCTGTTGGAGGTAGCCACCACCACCACTCCAGTTTTAAACAGCATCTCAAACAGCTGCTTCAGGATCATGGCGTCGGCAATGTCCGCCACCTGATTGAAGAGAGCCAGAGAAGTCGAGGAGCATCTCATATTATTCCTTTCTTGCCACACCTGTGTGTGTGCACGAGTGTGTTTGAGGTCACAACATGCCATCATCACTCCATGTTGATCAGTGTCATTCAGGTGTGCTCATTCAGTCCTTTTTGTGTGGTCATTGCCACCCAAACTTACGTGTATACACATGGATGCAAACACACACTCAGGCACTTAAATTTACTGCAAATGGTCAAGAACTGGCCTTCCGTTGAGTGGAGTAGCTGAGGCGAAGAAAAAGACCTGAGCTAATCAACGAAGCCGAAAAACAAGAGGAATGAAAGAATAATAAAAACAAAGCAATGCGAGGCAGGACTGGGGTCATGACGGCAGACAAAGCTTCTATCAAAGCATGTCCACATAAAGGCATATTAAAGTGCATGTGTGTTGTATGTACTAGACACAAGGCTATACGGTGTGACAATACATAAATCCAATTCAACTGTCTGCTGCCTTTTTCATCTACATCATTTCCATGAGTCCACAATGAACAAAGGTCGATGACAACACTGAAGCAAGGACGTTTATGAGTCGCTAGCTGTTAAATGAAGAGCTCTGACCTTTCTATTACTAATCCAGTGCTCTCACTTTTGTTCTTATTCTCTCGTCTGCGTCTCTCTCTCTCGAACCTATGTTGTTCTTTTGAACACCTATAAAGGGAGAAATGTTACCCTGTGATTGGCGGTTGTCAAAGCGACATTTATTTAACGTGATGCTCGACCGATGAAAGTTGGGCACAAAGGATTTCCAACCTCTCTGGTAACTTAAAGTTGTCGGTCTCATGTCAACAGTAATTTATATCCTGTTAAATGACAATGTTTCCTCCCAAGAAGATGTAAAAATGCACAAACAGAAATCCATTGTGAGAAAACCGCCTCACTGTAATGCCAAATTCTTGACCCTTAAAGTACTTTTCTTGTTTAAAAACCCTAAAAGAAAATGTCTTGAATAAAAGAAAGACTTTGCAGTCATGCATCTGTCCCGCCCTCTCCTCTTATTCCCTCTTACCTACTTTCCTGTATATAACAGGCACTTCTGATGGCCATACCCACAGCATATGCTTCCTTTCAGACTCTGGAGAGTCTTCTGCTTTTTGCATATTAGCCCCACTGCCCTTGCCAATACTTGATTAACATTTGTGTTAAAGCCTTGATTTTGCTAAGGAGAGGTGGCTAAGGGCATCAAATTAGCGTGTGTGTGTGACTGTGTGTGCGTGTAATGAGAATCAACAGAAAGCCAAGGCTCAGTGTCTCTCTGAAGGGGCCCCCATTTCCTGCGACCACAGGATTTTATTTTCATTTCAAAAGAATCATTTAAAAATGACCTTTTATACAACATGGATTTGTTTATTCATGTGCCCTCCACACGGGCATAGTATGAGGGGCAATATTGATTGCTGAATGACTAGGGGAAGAGGGAAAGAGAATGGGTACCCACAGGATGAGAAAGGTGGAGGGGGACTGATGTAGCACTTGTGGAGCACAAAAAAATAATGGTGCAATCTCTGTCAGCCATTGCCGATATTTAAATGAGCATCCAATTACTCAAGCGGCTGTCAGTTTACAGCGAGGCACACGGGTGCCAAATTAAACCTCTTTTGATGTTACACCTCTTTATGTACACAACCTATGAGCAATTTCACAGAGGCTACACAGTGACTGAGGCCCTGAGACAATGATGCTCGAGCGTTTTCTTCTCACTCTTTCACGTTCTTTCTCACTCTCTACCCATCTTTCCATCTTGGACCTCTCAATGGCGAGTATTCATTAGAGGAGCCGGGTAGGGGTCGCAAAAGGAAGGAGGGGAGGAGAGCTGGGGGGGGGGGGGCTACAAATTACTGATAATGGCATGGCGCTAATGAAGAGAATGGAAAAATGTCATTAGCATTTAAGAGGATAAGATCCATCTGACCCGCCGCCGCCAGTCGCTTTCTAGCTCCACTCACTTAAGGAAGCAGGAGAGTGCGACTGATACCCAGAGCTTCATTTGCATGGCTGAGTGGTGGAGGATGCTGATTGGTATAGCCCCTCACACCCCCCACACCCCAAACCCCCAACTCTCCCAACCTCGCAACCTCTTATTTATGCATCACAAACAACGCGCACATGTCTACTTGTTTCCCCCGCCATTCACCGGTAGCAACAGTCGACAAGCGAAAACAGCAAAGCTGGCGACAGCAAACAAAACAAATCAATGAGAATGCACAAACAGCGCCGCGGTTTAAAATGTGAAAGACGGCCAGATGAAAGGAGCGGCTCTTGATCCACGCAGATGCACGGAGAGTGATTAGAGGGAGCAACTGCACCTTCTGTGACCTCTGACCTGCTGGCATTAACTGTAATGATATCAGTAAAAGGAGCAACATTGTGCTGCTAACAGATGTGTTTGGCTGGCTATTGATGAATGCAGAAACACGTGTTTTTCTTCACTACAGTGAATGACTAACAATCTCACAGAGAGTAGACAGCCTCAGTAGTGGTTCTCACCTCTAATGGTGAGAACTTTGTGCATCACTAATGACTCAAGGGGGTCCTTTAGTTGTGTACAGTGTGGCTGTAATGGTTTGAGAGCAAACTATTGTGAGATTAAACAATGTACCTTTATCTGTCCTAGTAAACTATAACTAAACACACTAAAGAGAGAAAATACAACTGGAAGTCATTTTGCAATTGTGCTATATTTAAAAGAGGCCACTAGGTGTCCCCAGTCCTGTTTTTTATTTGGATTAGAAGCACGCAGTTGTTCACAGGAGAACTCTGAACTTAAAATACAGAGAATGCAACGTTGAACAAGTTTTTTCTAGTTCCTTATCTTGACAGAAATAGAGGTCAACCTTGAAGCAATTGCTGCCAATTGCTGCCAACTGCAGGAAATAAACAGCAGTTTATCGCTTTGTTTTATTCTTTAAAGATTTTAAGATGTCTGATTTGTGAGTTTCTGCTGACCCCAGCATTCAGTTGGGTTGTTGTACAATAAAGCAACACTTTGGTAAAAGCCAACTAGTCAGATTCACTCTAAACAATGTGAAATATTAGGGAATAAAACTTGAAAACTTCATAAACTCCCAGTTATTTCTTTTCTCTTTGTGACCTCTTTTAAAACTAGGAAAAAGCACGCAGATATTATTTATGAAACATCCAGCCTGACTTGACAGACACGTATCCCCGTTTTATATTAATAGCACATGTAAACAATAGCATGGCAAAAATATAGAAAATTTAACTAGCACTATATTTATCAGTGAATATATAAAGCACATGGCTTTCAATTAATGTGTGAAAACCCCTTAGTTCGACACCAGGAGGAGGCACAAATCACTGGCGAGGCATCCAGGACAAAAATATATCCACATCAGACATACTGAGCCATCCGCTGTGGTGCTCGTTCGCGAATAAGGGAGCAGCTTTAGTCAGTATATAAGTGCAATAGTTACAAATATCAAAACACGTAACAGTATTTAAAATTCTCATTGTGTAATGTTCCGCTTTACAACAGTCCCTGTGACATGGTTGCTCACCTGAAACTCGTCAAAACACAAGAGGCAGGTCTCACTGCTGATCTCCATGGCAACCGGTGATATGGGGTCATAGGTGAACATTTTCCCTAACCTCCGTTTTGGCAGGCTTTGTTTCCTCCGATGGATCCCTTTAAAGCAGCAAACAAACGTCAGGCACATCTTAAAGCACACCTGCGACGGCAACCCAAACCCACTGACAGTGCTGAATAAAGCAGTAATTTCACCTGTGTGCATAATGGTAGACAATTAGCAGGACGGCTTCAGGACAAATAGAGGGATAAATATAGGATCTCCGGTGCACGGGGAGTCGGAAAACTTCTACAAAGTCATGCAAGGAAACATTGGGCTGTTAGAGCCGAGGAATGGGAGGATGCTACTAACTTTTGTGGATGTCCAACATGAAGCCGTTGAAGTGGACTCGCTTTTTGCGACTGTTCTTCACATGGGAGTAAAACAGATCCATAAGCATGGTCTTCCCTGTGCCTGAAAAGGTGGGAAAACCAAACCAAAGTTATTATGATAACCACAGAGATGTTAGTTTGTATAATGATAGGAGCTTTTTCTGTATCCAAGCTCACCAACATCTCCATATATATAGAAGCCTTTGGGTGGTGGTGCTGGTGGTGGTGGAATGGGTTTCTCCTTTGGGACAAAATATTAAAATTAAGATGATTGTAGTGCGTTTTTTTGCTTTTTTACATGAATCTCAACCAACATAATCGCTGAAATTTATTCACAGTGATTATTTCCACTCTATAGCTAATGACTTAAATAAACTTCTTCATATTGATTCCAATAAATGTCTGAAACATCATCTAATAAACAAAGTATGCTAAGGCATTAAGCCACCACTACAGTGTGAGGTTTCACAATCTCCAGACTAGCCCACTGCAGGGGAGGAAGACAAAGGGGATCTAATCAACAAGACAAGCCAGGGTTCCCACGAAAGAAAAGCATCATCAGAGGAACAATGGAGGGATTTGTCAGACAAAACGGAGAGGACTGGATGAGGCTCCATACGAGATGGAGTGGACTTGTCTGTGCAGCCTGTTTAGCGCTGCTAATTGTGATACGGTACTGTTGCATTGAGGTGCTGCTGGAAGTCATTGTGCTGCCTGCCTCCTATTATCAAAAGATCCTTGCTTCAAAAAAAAAAAAAAAAAATCTTCTGTGTGGAAGCTGAGAATATCGAGTAAAGCCAAAAAGGACCCAAGCCATGTGAACGAATGTGCCGTCAGCTTAATCATCTGTAATAACAATGTGAAGAATATCTATGGGTGGCCAAATTATGGATCTTTTTATCGCCTTTAAAAAAACCTCTGTTGTTCAGGATCGTCCATCTCTGTAACCGGGCAACACCAAATAGCTTTGGAATTAATCATTCACTAAACAAAAAAAGTACTGGTCTCTTTAAATTTAATTTAGTTATAGGATGGTACTCGGTGTCCACCGAACTCAGTGTCCATGCACAAGGGGCACTTGACTCTGGTAAAATGTGGACAATGGCAGTTTGAAATCCAAATTAAAAAACAAGCTTGCTATCCAACCTCTCTCTCTCTCTCTCTCTCTCTCTCTCTGTCTATTCCCGCTCCACCCCTCTCTACTTTTTACCCACCCCTCCATCCACTGCCTGTCCTGGGCTGGATGTGAAGTCCTGGAAGAGCCTTTCCTGTTTGCTCTGGCATAACAGTGTGTGACTTCTCCCTGACTTCCCAAGCTGCCCTGTAGCATGGCGGGGTAATTGTCAGTGGCTGGAAACCATTCTGCTACGGCAGAGTGGCGAAGGACAAGACCGTCCCTCAGCCACTCTGTCTAACTGAGCTCTGTGGCCTCGTCTCACCTCATGCTGCAGGATATAGACTGGCACATGAGTGGAAAGTTCACATGCAGGACATGGTCATTTTGGCTTTAGGAAGAACTTCTTTTGACCACTGCCAAAAATGACTTGCAGAGGCATGGTCGGCTAAGATCGTCAGAGCCCGAGTCAAGTTTAACTCACACAACTGTCCTGCTGGAGGCCTACCATGTGCAGGAGGACTCCATGATGCAGGTCTGTCTTGAAGAGGGTGGATCCCACTGAACAATGGCCCATTGTCAGCCAACCATCCGCAAAACCACGCCACATTGGGTCAATATTAAGTCAAGTGTACTCTCCTCACAGACTTGATCAGTTAGTGAGGACAATGGCGGCACTTTCACAGAGAGAACAGACACCAAAAGGACAGTGGTATGACCTGATTCAAACTGGAATAATTGCATAAGTACTCCAGTCAGTGTGTGTGTGTGTGTGTGTGTGTGTGTGTGTGTGTGTGTGTGTGTGTGTGTGTGTGTGTGTGACAGACAGAGCAAGAAGTAAGGTGCAAAAGGAGAGGGGTGGGTGTGAGGGTGGTTGGTGGTGGTGGTGTTGATAGCCTACCACCAAAGTATTTGTCAGAGTCCCAAATCAAAAGCAAAAAGGACAAGAATGGCTGAGACAATGGGGATCCCCTCATTACTGCCCGGGGACGGTGAGAGAGTGAGAGGGGTGCCGGGACGGGCCCAGCGGGAGGTCCTCCCTGCTGCCTTCCAAAATCTGTGCCTAACTCTGTGTGTCTGTGCCAGCCAACCAACAAAAAAACTCCCACCACCAAATAGTAGACAGTCAGCTCCCCTGACCTAAAAACAACAACAGCCCCCCTGCATTATGCCGTTCCAAAACTCACATGCACAATAAACTTCCCAGACCCCTACCCTCCCTTTGACCTGAGCCCCACGGCCACCATCGATGATACAACAGGAGAACAGGGAAGTCGACTCTGTGAAGTCCGTCCATATGTTAGATATCAGTGGTGCTTTTTAATCCAACGACAATCCGGATCCAGACATATCTATGCTGCCTTATGAATCCTAAACTGTTCCCCAAATAATGTCCAGCGTAATGCATCCTAATCCAAACGATGCAAATCCGATGCTTTCAGTTTTTGTAATTTTTATTTATTATGTAGGAATATTTTGAAGAAATAACACTGGTCTTGACCCTGAAAAGGAGTATAAATACCCTTCAAGACTGTCTCATTAGCTTTTTTCTCCGAGGCTTTCAACAGTATTGCATGGTCTTCATCGGTGAATGGAGTTTGTTCAATTGTCAGTAGCTGTTATAAATTTTTTTATAACAGCTACTGAGCAGGTATATTTTAATAGTGTAACAAACTACCTTCCCTGATGATGAAGACTGTGTGAGATGTGGTTGAAAGCGCTGGAAAAAACTTCAAAGTGAACCTCGAGTTTAGAGTGTTTTAAATGTTTGTCCGCATGGCTCATCCGTCTCTTCGCAGAAAATGAAACTTGTTTAAAATACAGTGAAACACTGAGTCGCTAGTTGCTTTAGGCCACAGTGATTAGACCTCTAGTGAAGTCTGTTGTTCTTACGTTTAACTCTGGTGCTCAAAAATGTCGACATGAGGTTGTTTAAAATTAATCAAGGGTTTGATGATGCACCTTTTGATAAAAACAAATATCATATTTCATGAGTACAATAAAATATATTATTACAGTTAAATGAACAATGCATTTTTTTTTAACTTTTTACATTCAATTACAATAAATTTGATTTATTTATATAGCACCAATTGACAACAACAGTTGCTTCAGGGCATTTTACACTGTAATGTAAAAACCCTACAATGTTTAAAACAAAGAAAAATCCCAACAGTCACATGACCCTTTATAAACAAGAACAGTGATAGTGAGAAGGAAAACTCCCTTTTAACAGGAAGAAATCTCTAGCAAAACCAGGTTTATGGAGGGGCAACCATCAGCAGAGAGAAGGATTTTAAATTTAATTCAGGCTTTAACAGGCAGCTAGTGAAGAGAAGCCAGTATAGGAGAAATATGCTCTCTCTTTCTCGCTCTTGTTTGTACTCTCACTGGAGCACTTTGGATCAACTGAAGGCTTTTTGGGAAACTTTTAGAACAACCTGATATTAATGAATTATAGTAGTCCAGCCTACAAGTGAGGAATCTGTGTTGCTCTGAGACAGGATGTTTCTAATTTTGAGGACATTGTGCAGAAGAAAGAAAGCAGTGCTAGATATTTTCCAAGGTAATGCCATGTAAAAGTGAAATATCTAAAATGAATTTCTAGTGAGACACTGTTTTTCTAAGATTTTTTAGGTCTGAGTACTGTGACCTTTTTTTGTCTGAATTCAGAGGTAGGGAATTAGAGGTCATCCAGGCCTTTATGCCAGTATGATATGCCCGTAGTTTAACCAGTTGATAAATACAAGGTAACTGAGATAAAATATTTTGTGACTGAAAGACAGAATTGTTTTTACACCGCCACTGTGTGTGTGTGTGTGTGTGTGTGTGTGTGTGTGTGTGTGTGTGTGTGTGTGTGTGTGTGTGTGTGTGTGTGTGTGTGTGTGTGTGTATTTCAAATCAAACAATCGAAATGTGATTGAAGTGCAGATTTTTAGCTTTAAATTCCAAAAACAGTTAATGCAAAGTTAATTACAACTATTTTTTTATACATAGTACCCTTTTTAGAGGTTCAAGATTAATTAGACAAAATAACGTGATGAAAATATTTTGCATCAATGCCTGAAGTCTAAAACCCATGAACATCACCAAATGCTGCGTTTCCTCCCTGAGATGATCTGCTAGGGCCTTTACTGCAGCGACCTCGAGTCTGTCTACATTCAGTTTTGTCTGCAGTAACTGAAAAAAGCTGGTTGAGATCAGATGAGTGACTTGGTCATTGAAGAGTATTGCATTTCCTTGCCTGGAGAAACTTGGACTGCTTTTGCAGGATGCTTTTGGGTCATTATCTGTTTGCACTGTGAAGCGCTGACCGATCAAGTTTTGCAGCATTTGCCTGAATCTGAACAGAGAGTATAGCCCATCACACTTCGCGATTAATCCTCCTACTTCTATTAGCATTTATGTCATCACAAGTGACTCAGTTCTACAGAGAACCATTTATGTCAATGCCAAAATACTTTTCTCATTGTCTCATTATTTTCATTCAAGTTCATCTTATTTTACCTAAATATTTGTTTTCAAAACTACGCAAGCTCTCTTTGGTTGAGGTGTACAGAAGCAAAACTACAAAAAAAAACGTATCTCTCAATCAAATGAAGAAAGAAGAAGATGACATTTACCAGTGTCATACACTTAACCATGTGTTACAACCAAGGTATGTAGAAGAGCGTCTCTAGACACACAACGTGTCCAACCTTGAAGCAGCTAAGACCACATCAAGTGCCATTCCTGTCTGCTCAGAACAGAAAACGGAAGCTATAATTCGCATGTGTTGACCAAGACTGGACAATAGAAGATTAGAAAAATGTTTCCTGGTCTGATGAGTCTTAATTCTTATTGCAACATTTCAATGGTAGGTTCAGAATTTCGTGTAAACAACATGAAAGCATGGCTCCATCCTGACTTGTATCAACAGTTCCAGCTGGTGGTAAAGGTGTGCGGGATATTATCTTCAGCCTTTTAGTACCAAATGAGCATTGTTTGAACACCTGAGCATTATTGTTCACCATGTCCATGTCTCTTTTATGACCACAGTGTAACCACTGCTTCTAATAAGATAACGCACCATGTCACATACCTCAAATTCTCTCACACTGGTTTGTTGAACATGGCAGTGATTTTGCTGTACTCAAAGAAAACCTTTGTGATGTGGTGGAAGAGGAGATTTGCATCATGGATTTAAAGCAACTGTGTGATACAATCATGTTAATATGGAAGAAAATCTCTGAGAAATGTTACCAACACCTTGTTTAATCTAGCCCATAATGCACTTCTGAAGGGGAAGGGGGGTATACCTAATAGAAGAGTGTATTATATTAGTAAGTATACATAGAGTGAAGAAAAAAAGTCCTGATTTTTGCAGTAACTGACTAGCTGTGGTATATATTGGGGATAAAAACGGGCAAGTTGTAGCTTCTCTGAAAAGCCAAACCTGCCTTATTCACTCCAACCATGGTCAGCACAACTTCTCTGTGATGATACATGAACAATCATGTCATTACCTTTTCAGTGAGCTCACTGCCTTTGTTTTCGCCTGCTCTGGTGCCACTGTGATGTTGGCTGCTGTCATCTTTTGAGTTTAGAATGTCTTGATTCAAGTAGATACTGTTACTGTAGCTCTTGAGGGTGTGCTGCAGCTGGGCCAGCTGCTGGAGAACCCGTCTCTGTTGGGCATCCCTCCTCAGGAAGCCACCCTGAACGAGGCTATCAAAGTGCACAAGAGTTTCACTGGAGCCACACGTGTCTGCTGCTGGAGGATCCGACGAGCAGGACGATGCAGATGAACAGCATGCCCTCCAACTACTGTAACCTTGAAGCATTACACCAGAACACGTCAGTGTTACATGCAAACATAAAATATGCCTCGATATAGTATAATCTAGATGTTATAATATGATTCCAGTAAAGCTGTATTAAAACATGTCGTAGCAATAAATGTGTAGTTGTAGCACACGGAATTTAGATAGAGGAAATACAGTCTGAAACATTTCCCGGACGGGTTAGACTCTGCACGTTGGCGCAGAGTCGCCTACCTTTTCCAGAGAAACTGCTCGACAAACAACAAATCTGACGTGAAATCAAAGGAGAGTCTTTGAGGAAAAACTTCAGTGAGCGACTGACAGCGGCAGCAGCCGTGTAAGTCGCCATGATGTTTCAAAACGCTAAAACTTTATTGAGCGTTTCGCAATAGCACGACGAAGGGGCGTTTAGAATACTTCAAATTTAAATAAATGTCACGAATGTATCTCAAATCTATAGTATCTATACACATAAACCTATAAGATTTTGCGTCAAAGGAACAATATAATTATACATTTTTATAAAATTTATAGTTTGTATTCTGTATTATGTCGATTTTCTTTCTCCGTTTTTGACTATAAACTGTTATTGATTGCCAATTATTATGACTAACCCTGTGAACTAGGTCTTTCAAGGAGAATAATATAATACTGACCATTAAATTTCTATATTTCGGTCGCTTGGGGTGTGACAGTAACAAGTTTCCGTTCTAGCAGTCACTTTATATTATTAGCTGTGTTTGATCTGGGTTGTAGGGTAAAATGAACACGTTTGTGTCTGTAGTGTAGTAATCGATGTGTGTAATGTGCCCGCTGGCAGGTTGTAAATAAATCGAGCAGGGGGGTGACAGAGAAGCGTCAGCTGAACCTCAGCTGATCGGAAGTTCAGCTCTACGGCATTTCAAGCTGGCGAGAGTAAGTGACTGGGTGATACCGAAATTTGCGTGGTTTGCCTTCAGAATAAACTATGAAATTTTTATTTTTAGCTCTAGCAAGAACAACATTCACGTGGAGAAATTAAATAACAATATATCTCATCTTTAAACTCGGATAAGTCAGGAAATCAGACCGTATTTTAACGTCAGTCTTCATTTTACATACACAGCATTCACCAAAATCCTTTATTTTGAAGGCCATCAAGGTGACGTGCATATTCTTAATCTGACTAACTTCACGCAATCCCCAGGCTGCTAGAAGGAAAGGGAGACATGGCTGAAACCATAGCTGATACAAGAAGGCTTTACACCAAGCCTCAGAACTTAAATGACGCCTATGGACCTCCGAGTAACTTTCTAGAGATTGATGTAAGCAACCCTGAGACGGTCGGGGTGGGCAGAGGCAGATACACCACGTACGAAGTCAGACTGAAGGTGAGCCTACCGTAACAAGTGCAAATGGCGCTAGCTTTTAAGCTACACACCTAAGCACGCAAACATATCTTTTCTGCAGTCACAGAAAGTTGTAATTTTTATGACATCGCGATTTTTGCCCCCACTAAGACATTCAAAGGGTCGATATTTAAAAGTGTGGGCTATTAAGAAGTATCAAATTGTCCGTTGCTAAAGGAATTAGTCGACGCTTGCTAGGAAGCTAGCAGCCTTTATCTGACTGCACGGTTACCTGACGTTACACTGTCTGCTCAACGTTGTTGGTGTACATAAAGCTGTTTGACTGCATGTTAATTAAAAGTGTTTGATAACGTGGTTAACGGAAACGGTGTCTGTGTCTTTTGACGGCGACATCGCTCCGGGAAAGAAGGGGTGTGCGCGCGCGTGTGTGTGTTTACATTAGCCTCAAGTGTTTTTCCACAGCGCAGCTGAAACATGTCTACAAATAAACTGCAGTTATATAACCTCGGTTTAAGCGAAACACATAACCTTCTCAAAGACTTAACGTCTTTCTGAACATTTGATCTCCAGCCACACCCCATTGTCCGAGTGCAAACCACAGATAACAGTATTGGTCACACTTAATGACAATCCTGAGGTGAGGACTGGCCTGTATGACTAAATGGTGCACTGGGACATAATGCGAACATTTTGGTTGGTATAGTATTTTACTTTGTAGCTTTTCTGACGTGACAAATCACCAGAAGCCTAAAGGAAAGCATACTTTTGAGTCAGCTTCTCTGGAGCTATAAAGACAGGATGTAGGATGCTGCCTGATCCTGTCCAGTTTCACCCACCCCCTTACAACACACTTCCTTCCTCCAACTTGTAGAGGAGAACAAAAGGTGTTTTGTTTTTTTTCGTATAAAGAATTATTTTTGTCACTTTACTATCTATTTGGCTGTCAGTGTACTTTTTTTTTTTTTAAATGTGAAATTCTGGGATGGCAGCTAATGCTGCGTAGAAATGCAACAGTGTTGTTGAGCAATAGGTCAGGATGAGAACTGTTAGAGAGTCAGCAATTGCAAAACACATCCTGTGTATCTTTCTGTTACTGCAACTTTGTGGTCAGAGTAAAAATTAGCCTTGAATAGCTGAGGTCAGCTGATACATTTCTTTCAGTGTTGATACAGATCACTAGTAACCAAAATCAAACTATTAAAATAACAAATCATAGTCAACATTAACTCCAACACTAACCTTTGTTAGGCTTTTTGTGTCTTAAAACTGTTGCAATGTAACAACAACAAAAGAACAAATGTATCTTTTTAAGATCTGTTCTCAAAGATGAAGTGTATTTTTTTTTTCCTGGGAACTTGTAATTATAGAAATAAATCACTGTAATTGCGATATTTGGCAAAATAGTTAGTTCAGTTAAGTATTTGGAAAATCTTGCAAAGAAAAGCGTCTAGACTTCTTTAAGTTACTTGAAGACGTTTCACCTCTCATCCGAGAAGCTTCTTCAGTTCAGAACTGAAACGTCTTCAAGTAACTTAAAGAAGTCCAGACGCTTTTCTTTGCAAGCTCCTTTGACTACGATGACCTGGATGACTGAGAACCTTCACAGACATATTTGGAAAATCACACTTTTTTTTTTTTTTTTTGCCTCTGTCCACAACTGCTGTGGATTTTAATTAAACTCTCCAGATGTGATAGAACTGCAATGATGCACCTGCATCCTCATGACTTGGTGACAGCTTTAATTCAAGAAGCCTTGAACCAATTTTTATACATTTTCCCATTTTTAGATGCTCAAAAATAATTAATAACTGACTGACATTTTCTTTGTCAGATGAGATCTGTTCCCTTGTTGTTTTATTGCAAATTAAGCAGATGAAAAACAAAGATGCTGACGCAAGTAAAGGAGGGCAATAGGTTGAAAACCTAAAATAAACCTAACAGAGAGATGGAAATGATCAGACTGGCCAAATCAGCAACACCAAAAGGTCTGAAAGACTACAGAATACAACTAAAATAGGGGGTTTCCATGGTTAAGGAAAGCAGCTTCACAACATCTAACCAAGCCACGAGGCGGTCTACAGTCAAGAGATACCTTCATAAATGTAAATAACAAAGGGTTTACAACAAGGTGCAAATCACTGGTTGCACTCAAGTACAAGCAGCCCTGATTAGACTGTCAGAAACCATCTAGAAGAGTCTGCATAGTTTTGAAATAATATTTGAAACACGCAAACAAGATTAACTTGTACCAGAATGACTGGTGTGCATACTTCAATCATACTTGAAGAGAAAATAATGGAGAGGGAGAGAAGTGGCTCATGATCTAAAGCATGCCATATTACCTGTCAAACATGGTGGAGACATTTTTTATGGCACTTTCATGTATGACTGTCAGTGGAATTAGTGTTTATTTATTATGTGACTGTTGAAAAGTAGCAGAATGAATTGTGAAGACTACAGGGCTATACTTTCTGCTGAGATTCACTCAAAAGATCCTGCAAAATGGATTGAACAGTACTTCATAGTGCAAATGAGTAGTGTCCCAAATCACACTGCAAAAGCAGCTCAAGTGTTTCTCAACTCAAAGAAATATTGTGAAGTTCTTTTTTTTTTTCTTCAAGTCGGTCTCCAGATCTAAAGTAAATAGAGCATGCTTTTCACTTGCTGAAGACAGAGCTAAGGTTAGAGAGATCAGTTGGACACCTTTTGGAGCAAATGTGTCAAAGCAAGTCACAGGATGAAACAGCATATTAAAAGCACTCCTTAAAATGGTTAGCTTCTATAATTACCTTAGAGCCTCTAGAAATTTATATGTATAAAATGTCTGTAAATCCCCTGAAAGTCTGCATTTCTATCGTGTCTCGATAGTTTGATTTATAGTCCACTGTGGTTGTGTCCTGAGACAAGAGTTGTGTCATTTTCCAAATACTTATGGACCTAAATGTATCTGGCAATCCACCTTTGAAACATCAAACCTGCTTAAATCTGCAAATGCTTTTCTTTGATCCTGTTTATGGCACAGTACCCACAGTGTTGATAGGATAAATGTCTTACAAAATAAAAATGTAAATATAAACTAAAGGTCGCTTGCTCTATTATTGGAGTTTTAAATCATATCATACATGGAAACGGGAGTTGACGTGGTTGTCATAAAACTATAGATTTTAAGAGTTTTTTAGAACAATGAAAAGTTTGAACGTTTTTTATTTCAGTGACAACTTAGCAGTCTGCCTGTGCTGATAATCTCAGTGAAAGCTCCATGGTGAACAACTTGGACAACCTTGGACCGTTTGATTCAGCTGCTGCTGCTTTTGTCAGATATTAAATGTCATGCCTACATCAGGAATTTTGTGAGAATGTTAAAATATAAGTCTTATTTGACATGCAGACACAACAAGCAGGCAGTTAGATTCACGAGAAACGAAAAAAAGACACATTTTAGCTGGGTTAGCCACGAGGTAAACTTTGTATTTTTTACAGTATTTTCAAGCTTTAAGAACTCCTTTTAAAGGCTTGTCAGTTTTGCCACATAAGCCAGGCAATTTTGTATAAATGTAACTATTATTGGACCTTTTGTGTTCGATTTTAAATACACAGACTGTCAGACAGTCACTATAGGCTCATCTGATTGCTCCATCTCCTCATCTCTAAATTGTCATCTTGGTTGACTGACACCCCTGTAGTTACTGGCCCGGAGTATTTAGATTGGTTACCAGCCCTCAAGTATTTAGTCGTTTTCCTTTACCTTTAAGAAACGAGTTGAGAGGAGAGAAGCTGTCTCCAGGCATTAGCGTTGAATATAAGGCTACTGTACTTGATTAGCGTGTAATAATTAGCATATGCGTGTAATCAGCATTATTGTGCACCTCATAGCCCTGTGTGACCCTGCTTTGCATAAGACCACAGAAGAAGCGGTGCATCCCTCACTTCTCAACAAACGTGGTGTCAACTTAGCTTTGCTTCTCTCCTTCTCCTTTCTTTAGCTTTCTTTGGAAGCGTTTTACTCCAT